ATTCTCTCTTTTTTGAAACTTTTTTTTTTTTTTTTTTGAGACAGAGTCTCAAGCTGTCACCCTTGGTAGAGAGTGCAGTGGCATCACAGCTCACAGCCACCTCAAACTTCTGGGCTTAAGCGATTCTCTTGCTTCAGCCTCCCAAGTAGGTGGGACTTACAGGCACCTGCCACAACGCCGGCTGTTTTGTTGTTGTTGTTGTAGTTGTCCTGTTGTTTAGCTGGCCCAGGAGGGCTCAAACCCGCCAATCCTTGGTGTATGTGGCTGGCACCCTACTCAATGAGCTATGGGCACCGCCCAATTCTCTCTTTTTTGGAAGAAAATTTAATAAATTAGAACTAGGATAACATATAGCTTTAATTAGCAGATTTTCTACTAGCCCTGAGATTTGGTAATTATGAATTATTGTACTTAAGTAAATAGTTATTACTTTGCATACAAAGGGAGTTTGGAGAATTACCTTTCATTTCATTTGCTGAAGAACAATTTTGAAACTTGATTTCTAAGGATTTCATTATCACTAAGCTCACTGCTCTAAGGATCACATGATCTGGACCAGCGATATATTCACATCCAGGCTGAACTTCATCACCTCCGAAGAAGGAAAGTTTTCCATGAATAGACAATGTTCTTAACAATCCCAAATTCACAGCTTGCAAAACAGCATTGGCTAAAGTTAACATGTCCACCTCTAAATGACAGTCTGGCATCAAGGCTGGCACAGAGCCACGAAAGAGGTCTTCACCCACTTTATGGAGAAGGCACTTTTTGATAAACATGATGACTTTCCTTTTGACAAAAGCCTGAACAGGCCAGGTAATAACTTCTAGCACACAAGATGGTTTCAAAAATAAAATCCTCTGGCAAGTGAAATGTAACTTCAGGTAGATTCTGGAGGCCACAAGAAGCTCAAGCAATTCCAGAAAACATATCAAGCTGTTTATTATTTTAGAAGTATCATGGCAGTTTTCAAAATGCTGAGAAAATAAGGAATTGTAAAATACTTCAAAAACAACGTCAAAAGGAGTCAGGAACTGCTTAAGAATTTCTGCAATTATAAAAATAGTAATTATAAATAACAGGAAAAACAAAGTCTTCTTAAACCACAATTTTACAATCCAATTGTTATAAATCTCACTATAAAGAGATGAAAAAAAATTGTTTACCTCTGACAGTAACAAATGAGGATACAGAGATTAACTGCTAATAATCCCAGTTAAATTCATTTTATAAATATCAACAGAAAAAAGCTATTTTTTTTCCTTTTTCTGTTTTTCTTTTATTAATGAATTTTTTTTTTTTTTTTTTGAGACAATCTCAGGCTGTCATGCTGGGTAGAGTACTGTGGCGTCATAGTTCACAGCAACCTCCAACTCTTGGGCTCAAGTGATTCTCTTGCCTCAGTTTTTCTTTTCTTTCTTCTTTTTTTTTTTTAGTAGACATTTTTTGCTCAGACTGGTCTCGAACCCGTGAGCTCAAGCAATTCACCAGCTTCAGCCTCTCAGAGTGCTAGGATTATAGGCATGAGCCACTGTGCCTGTGGCCTGCTTTTCTTTTATAAAAGATCATCCTCAACAAGAAAATATGGAGAAAGAATTAGTTTTTTACACTTTAAGAATGACCAAATGTTTTAAAGTAAGTTTTGTTCTTTGTTATACACATAATGATCCTGGGAGTGAGAAGACAACAGTTTATGGGTCAAGGTAATCTGTACCTGCTTTTTGTGAACATGTATCTTTAAAGATTTCTTTTATTACAGCTGTGGAAGTCCAGAGGCAGTATATTATTTTATCACTCTCAGAGTGTTCAGAAAGACTTTTTTGGCAAAAAGTAATCCAGGAATTACTTAATGTCATCTACAAGAAAAAAAATAAAAAATGTAGTTATAATACAATCTTTTCAATTGTAATTTATAATTACAAATTAGCTTATTATACACACTGTAACTACATACAACATTGTTTACTCACCTGCCAAAAAAAGTATAATGTGTGCTAAAACAGGGAGGAATAGAGATATTCTAACATTCTTTATGTCAAGAAATCCAGTATGCTATAGAAATAAAAGATCAAAAAGCAACAAAAAAAAAAAAAATTAGCACTGTTACCTCTGTGAATTGATGTGTACTTTTAACTTTGTTCTTTACATTTTGTTCCAGATTCCAAATTTTCTATAAATATCACTTTTTATATTCAGAAAAAGTTATTTTAAGAAATGTGATTGTAGCTGAAGAGTCAGCAGATGCCTAGATCTGTTTATTAACTAATTCAGAAATAGAAAAACCTGGTTCTGAATTTGTCTGCATTGTTTTTCATTATGCTGAAGATCATTCTCAAAGTTTATGTTAAACCTGTGCTAATGAGCTTGTTCTCAAGTAGAAGTTTCTAAACCTTTCCTGGGAGAAAGAGGTCTACCTAGTCCTTGGAGAATCTGAAAAGTAATCTACTCTTTGATATGACACCCACCTCTCAGGTTAAAAATCTGATTATGATTTTCAATATATTAAAAACTAATATTAAGTTTTTGTAGATTTACATGTTATTAATGAGCAAACATTTTATTAATACAAATATTTGAAGGGTAAAATCCAATGACAAAGAGTAATTCTTTTTTTTTTTTTTGAGACGGAGCCTCAAGCTGTCCCCCTGGGTAGAGTGCCATGGCTTCACAGCTCACAGCAACCTCCAACTCCTGGGCTCAAGCGAGTCTCCTGCCTCCGCCTCCCAAGTAGCTGGGACCACAGGCACCCGCCACAACGCCCGGCTATTTTTTGGTTGCAGCCGTCATTATTGTTTGGCGGGTCCGGGCTGGGGATTCGAACTTGCCACCTTAGGTGTACGTGGCTGGCGCCTTAGCAGGTTGAGCTATAGGCGCCAAGCCACAAAGAGCAATTCTAAAGAAACTATAAGAGAAATAATAACATGATTTGATTACTTTTCTTACCTTTTCTCTCAATTGGAAATACAGAAGTAATGTGAGGCACTTTGCAGCCATGTGAGATAATAATTTATCCAAACTCTGAAACAGAGAAATCTACAGAAAAACAAATACATTTAATCATTACACTGCAAGTTTTTATTTTTATTTTATTTTTAAGACAAAGTCTCGATTTTGTTGCCCTTAGCAGTGTGCTATGGCATCATGGCTCACAGCAACCTCAAACTCTTGGGCTCAAGTGATCCTCCTGCCTCAGCCTCTGGAGTAGCTGGGACTACAGGTGCCTACAACAAAGCTGGCTATTTTTAGAGATGGGGTCTCACTTCAGGCTGGTCGTGAACTAATGAGCTTAGTCGATCCACCCGCCTTGACTTCCCAGAGTGCTAGGACTACAGGCATGAGCCACTGTGCCCAGCCTTATGCTGAATGTTTTTAAAACTTTTATTTTAAATATCTGGATCTTTTAAATAAAAAAACAACAAATTACTTACTAATTTAGCATCCACTTCAGCTGATTCTAAAAGAATTGTAATTATATTTCTGTATTTCTCCTTTGCATGGAACTCAGTTTCAACAGACAATATCCTGGTTATCATGATGTCCATCACTGTTAACTGAAGAAGGCTCACTTCTATGGCACCCCTCATCTGAGAGGCGCTCTGCGAACACACAGGTACTACACTAATGGGAGCCACCTTGACAGAGGATGGCTGATGCTTTCCCTGGAGGCCAAAGGTGTTTGTCCATTTTAAGGAGGTGGTTGTAGAGCTCTCTTGATCTGAAAATGCTGGGTTGAGATAAAAGGTGTAATGATGGCTGTCATTTTCAAGTGTGGCTCCACGAAGTACCTTCTTGTATAATTGTTCTAAAACTTCATAGAAAGTTTTCATTTTGATTTCCAAAATGTATCTTTAAGTAGATTGACAACTCCAAGTCATAAATATTAAATCTTAGAAATGCAATGGATCTCCAAGACGTTTCTTCAGTGAAACCTAGAACAGGAAAAGTAATGTAAAAATTCTTACGTGCTATACTTATTACAAGAGGAAAGCAACTGTTTCCACTTAATAACTATCTCTCAAGTTAAAGGAAGTGCTGACTGCTTAATTTCTAGAACAGAAAATTATAATAAGAACATTATTTTAAGACTGTAACAATGAAATGTAAACCTTCCGTATAGATTTAAGAGCACAATAGTATTTTTAGTTTTATCACAGCAGAAACCTGAGCTTTCCTCTAACATTTTTCAACAGGTTATCAGGGTTTCTCAAGCTGGGCACTGTTAACATTTGGAGCCAGGTAACTCCATAGCCGGTACTCTCTGGGTATTGCAGCATGTTTAGCAGCATTCCTGACCTCTACACCCTGCAGGGATCCTCAAACTTTTTTTTAATTTCTTCCCCATCCTTCCTTGTTGTTTACAAGTGGGGTGTTATAATTAAGTCAGGCCAATGATGTTTAAAAAAGGAAGTGTGACTTTTGGGAAATTTCCTTAGACAGAGGGATGTAACCTTCTCGTTGCCTTCCTTGCTGGCCAGAATGCTGCTGTGAGGCTGGGCCTTGAGAATAAACTTGTATTATGGGTTAGAAGCCAAGAGTTAAGGTTGGCAGAGCAACACAGCAGCCATTAAATACCCTCTGGAATTCTTTTAAGTAAGAGAGAAAAACTGCCTTTTTCCTTATTTCTTTTTTTAAGAGGCAAGTCTCACTCTGTTGCCCTAGGCTAGAATGCTGTGGCCCCAGAGCTCATAGCAACCTCAAACTCCTGGGCTCAAGCTATTCTCTTGCCTCAGCCTCCCCGAGTAGCTGGGACCACAGGCATGCACCACCACATCTGGCTAGTTTTTCTGTTTTTAGTAGAGACCTGGTCTCACTCTTGCTCAGTCTTAAACTCCTGATCTTGAACAATCCCCCAGTTCTGCCTCCCAGAGTGCTAGGATTATAGGTGTGAACCACTGTACGAGGCCCCAAAATTGCCTTTTTCAAAGCTGCTGGTATTTGGGGTTTTAGTTTTATGCTGCTGAATGTAATTTTAACTGATACACATTTCAGCTGTTGGCATGTTACTCCTTTATAAGAAATTGTAAATGGGAAATTATTTCAACACCTGAGGACCACACCACAATAGAATATTCCATAGGCTCAAGATTTTGAGACGTTCTGGTGTGAGTTTTCTGTAAGGCATATCCTTTCCGTGGCATGGCAACATCATTCTTCTTTAAAAAGGTTATTGGACAAACATCATTTTTACCATCACCTATATAAACAATTTGTGTATAATTGATTACCTGTTGTGACTGTTTACCTACAAATTCTGCCAAAGCTACATTTTTGCAAAGATTCTTTGGGCATCTGTTGCAAGAATGAGCATGATAATTTTCCACAGTGAGGTGACCTTTGCTATCAAAAGCTGCTGGGTTTGTAAGCACTTTATCGAACACATCATGAAAATTAGCAGCTTCTAAAACCCAATCTATGAAGACTGAATTTGAATCTGAAATAATAATACAGTCAAATTTATCCTTATTCTTATAAAGTTGAAAAGTTCCACCATTCCTGGAGTAAAAGGCACTGATGTCACTGCTCTTTTCATTTCATCTTCTCTTACACCTTTATCTCCCAAATACTTAACTACTCTGCCCATAAATTCTGTCCTCAGTCCTTTTTGATAAGAATTCTGTAGTTCAATAGGAAGCTTTTTGCCTGGAGCACACTGTACAATCCACGTGTCACTACTGTCATCTATGATTGTATTGTCAAAGTCAAAAACCAGCAAAATTTTCATGGTTGCAGATTTGGGTTACCCTGGCTGATTTTTTCTGTTTTTGGTAAATACACGGTCTCACTCTTGCTCAGGCTGGTCTCAAATTCTCCATCTCAAGTGATCCTCCTGCCTCAGCCTCCTGCAGTGCTAGGATTACAGGAGTGAACCACCAAGCCAGACTGGGATTATTCCAACTTTGTACTTCCAAGACAATTAATCTTACTTCAGCATAGGGCTTAGGTCATGATAATCCTCAGTTTTAAACACCAGCCAGTTGCTTTTAAACATTATTTCTAGTCTATAAACACGGAGCAAGGTCTTCTGGTTTGGAGCACAAGAATAGAAACTTCTTAACTCCTGCCGGGTCCTCCCCGAAGGTAGGCGTCTGGATCTAGTTGGGGGTCGTTCCCCGTGAGGCGTGGAGCAGGTGGGTATGGGAGTAGCAGGCAGGCCTGTGCCCCAAAGGGCTCCTCACGAACCCACACCCGGCATCGGCAGCTGCCCTGGCGTCTGTGTAGCTCCCGCCAACTTTGTCCCTCCGCCTCAGCCCCGCGCCTGCCGAGCCCGCCGTCCCACTCACACATCAAGATCCCAGCGCAGGTGCAGCCTCGGTCCCTCAAACTTTTTAAACAGGGGGCCAGTTCACGGTCCCTCAGAACGTTGGAGGGCCGGACTGCGGGCCCCGGGATGAGTCAGCTGCTAAGCAGGACAGGCAGTGGTGGCAAAAACACCCAGTGGGCCAGATAAATGTCCTAGGCGGGCTGCATGTGGCCTGTGGGCCGTATTTTGAGGACGCCTGTGAGGCCCAAAGCACTCCCTACCTCACGTCACATGTTGATAACCAAAAATGTCTACAGATACTGTCAAATATGTCCTGGGCGACAAAGTTGAGAACCCCTGGGCTAACTTAAAATTCATTAACCTTCACTTCTCACTTACAGATGAAATCCTAAAGTTAAATTGCAATATGGTCAAAGTATACTATGGCTATGACTGATTAGATTGTACTTAAAATTATATGATAACGTTGTCACCTGTAATATTAAATAAAAACAAACAAACAAAAAAAGCCTTCCTAAGAAAAACACAAGTTGTTAAGCAAAAGCAATCACCAGACCTGTGCAACTATACTTGTAGCTGGATATAAATTTAGACATTTGTGGTTGTCCTGGATGCTTCTCTTATTTATGGTGAAGACCCAAGAGTGGGACAAAGGGAAAGGACATTTAGGGTCAGACTTGGCTTTTAAAGAAGAGAATATGGGTAATCACTGGATGGATCCTATCAGAGGAAGCATTAGTTACTATAGAGGGAGCACAACAAGGAAGTTTCAGACTGGCATAAGCAAAAAAGATCACTGAACAGCCTTTCAATTCAACACTGAAGCCTCTGGGAATTATTGACCCTGAGAAGAAGGGAGGCTTTGCTCCTTTCATTGCCTTTTACACCTCTAAATTGTAGATAACATCTAATTGTAGATGAAAATGCAAATAATTCTTGTCCGTAGATAGCAGAATTATCTGGTAGAGGCCCCCCCACCTCGCCAGTGGAGAAAGCCAGTTATGCTTCCATTCTAACATTCTTCCCCTCTATTAAGAACCATGGTTTTCCTATTGCTGCTTTAAATGGGTTGTGCCTTGCTCCTTATTAATTACTGCACTAAATAAAATCTTAGACACATGATTATTTTAGATTGGTCATGATTTTATCCTCTTGAAATGTACCCTATAACAAACCCCACAAATTTGACCTCTTTATCCCAATCAATTTATAAATCCCCTTTCTTTCTCACAGGAAAAGACTTCAGAGGGCTGCCACTCACATTGGGTCTCACTTCTACAATATGGCCCAATAACTTAGCCTTGGTCTTTAACCTTTGACTTCTTCCCTTTATTTAGGTTCTGAGGATTTCAACTGTTAAATATTCCATAAGATGAAGCTGCTCTGTTTTAGTCCTTTAGTAGAAAAATAAATATTAAAAACTTATAGATTTTAAAGTTATGAATGAAACTTTTGATAAGTTTAACCTAAACTTTATTTTCAAACTGCATCCCACTTGATTTGTTAACATGAATACTGGTAACCTTGTTCCATCTGACAGTGTTACACTTGAACTGAGCCCTGTGATCCCAGAAAGCAGGGATGCTTAAGAAGCAGCACATCCTTTTTTATTCCAAGAAAGGACTAACCAGAAAGAACAAACTCACTATCCATAATTCCCAGCTATATCTACTTTCACTCCTCCTCAATGACTTCCTTGTTTTATAAAACTACCTTTTATCTCTCTTTGAGAAGTCTTTTATTAGTGAACATTCTCCCTGTGACAACAGCCTCAATAAAATCATCTCCTTAACTGTATGCTATATTTTTTATCTGTCACACATCAGAAAGTAGTCTCCTTGTTCTACTTTAGTCAACTTCAGTCTAATTCCATTGTACTTATTTTACTTGATATTTTAGTGATAATATTTTTCCTCAAAAAACTGCTGACACATTAAAATGGAATATTTTAGTGTATCATATACTCAACTATTACTAAAAATGTCAGCAGCAACAACAAAAAAAGTCAGCAAGAAAGGAAATTATTTTTATTTCAACGCTATAGCAATAAAAATGCTTCCAATAATATTCCAATGGGTCATTAAGTCCTTACATTTTATCACAAATGAAATTGCTATTTGACCATTTTCAACCTACAAAAAGGGCAATTTCAACATGTTTTCAATCATTTCAGCACACCAACGAAAGTGAATGCCAGTATAACTATTTCTGGGTGTGGGACCAGATTCTTTGATAAGAGTGATGATAAAAAATTAAGACTGAAAGGTCATAAAGTTTAAGTTAACAAATACAGATTCAAAATGACCCTTTAGAGATAGAGAAAAAAAAAAAAGAACTGTGGTCATGAATGGAAGAAACAGACTCAGTTTTTCTAGCTATACTCTTCTAAGGCACTTGATACCAGATGTGTGGGAATTTCTTTCCACCAGCAAGCAAGTAATGAATTCTGTATGGGACACCAGTTAGATGTCCTCCAATTCAACATTATCTACCTGGAGATAGCATCAGATCATAGATTAAGAACTCAATCCCATAAGACTGAGACCCATTTTCACATTCATTGCAAACCCTGAGGTTTCTTTCTTTTTTTTTTTTTTTTAACTTGTGCTTCTGGCTATAAAATAAGGTTCCCATAATCCCCTTCTTAGGTTTGACTAATTTGCTAGAGTGGCTGACAGAAATCAAGGAAAAAAAAAAAAAAAGAAAAGAAATCAGGGAAACACATTTACTGGTTTATTACAAAAGATATTGCAAAGAATATCCAGAAAGAGATACAGGGAAGAGGTGAGGGGCTTCTCTGACCTCTCTCCAGGAACTTCCACAGGCTTAGCTATCAGCAAACTGTTTAAACCCTGTCTTTCTGGCTTTTTATGGAAGTTTCATTCTTCAGCATGACTGATTAAATCACTGGCCATTGGGATCAACTCAGCCTCCAGTTCTTCTCCCTTCCATGGAGCTGGGGGCTCCCTGAGGGGATGGGACTGAAAATTCTAACCCTCGGAACACAGGGCTGGCTCCCCTGGCAGCCAGGCCTTCATCCAGTGGCCACTCTGGCTGTCCAAAAATTGCCTCATTAACAAAAGCTCAGGTGTGTGAACAGGGTGTGTTATAAATAAGAAGACTGTCTTTTAGTTTTAACATTCTGAAGCTGTTCTGGAGCTGGTTCAGGAACCCAGGAAAGGCCAAATACATTAATAAAAGATATTCCTACTCTACTAATTCAGGAAATAACAGGCTTATAGGTGCTGAAAGCCTGGACTCTAGAATGGAAATCAAAATAGTATATACACTACAGTATCACAGGCCATAACTCTCTAGGGGCCAGGCAACCAACAAATGAATGAAGACAACAGGAGCTAGGCTGTTTCTATAGTTGATCAAGTATAAACTTCTCTTAATTATTTAATTATACTGCTTTTTAAAATAAATGGCTATGCCTGCCTTGGTGAGAATAGATTAAAAACTGCATTTTGTGTTTGTTTGTTTTAAAAAGCAATTGTGGTATTAAAGGAAAGGACAAATCCTACCTGCCTAGAGGAAGGTATTCTCTTTGGATTCCAGGCTTCTAAGAGACAAGTGTTTGTGGAAAGGAAACAAATAATTGGAGAGAACTAATCAGGTTAAGTGTAGGAGCTACTTCTCTTAAGTATTCAGAAAAAGCCTCTTGCAGAGAAGTGTGAACTTCCACACCAGGTGGCGGAAGGGGTACCCATTACACATAAAAGTTACCTGAAGCCTCTTTTAAGTAAGTACTATAAACTATTTGAATTTTGCATCCTACGCCTAGAAGCATGTGCATCTTAATACAAAAATGATGTTTCCCATCTATTTCACATAAAATTGATGTGTCAGGACTAACAATTGCTAAATTTCATTGAATGCCTACTATATACCAGAAACTGCTCTAAGTGAGCTTCACAACTTTAGAGGCTGATATTTAATTATAACACCCATTTTATAGATAAGGCATGGAGAGGTTACATTACAAAGGTGGTTAAGTGGCAGAGTTAGGATTTGAAGCCAGAAAGTCTAATTTCAAAGTCCATGCCCTTCACCATTCTGAGGCATTTTAAGTTTCCTTTCATGATCCAAAAGCTCAGGACAATGGCTGAATAGAGAATCTCAAGTATAGTAACTAGTAACTCACACAGCCTCATCTTTGACACCATAAAAGAGAGTACTAGTCCTCTGAATCATTTTCACATGCTGCACAAAATCTAAAATCAAGGTCAATCACTATGCAAATTTCCCAATGCAAACCATTCAAAAGATACTCAGCAACTAAAGGTTGAAATGTAAATCAGAATACCCACTTGATTGAATTTTTGTATTAAATTATAGCCAGAATCTGAGGGGGCAGGGATTATTTTTAATCCATGAATGCTTAAGTATCTGATATAAATTGGTGCAGTATTTGCATATAACCTATGCACATCCTTCTGTATACTTTAAATCATCTC